TTCCAGCTGGGGTATGAGGCGAGGGCTTAGCCAGCCTATGGAGGGGTGCATGTACACATGGAGCCTGACAGTGAAGCCAAGGACAATCGTGGGGATGAGGGAGGCTAGCTGAGTCTATGACAGCTCTGAAAGCTTCAGTAAATTCCCTTTTAGTTAAACCAAAAATATTAAGAAATAAACATTTCTCCAGCCTAAAATCCTTTCCAGACAGACCTGAACTGAAGGAAATCTTATCAGTGTCTAATCAAATTTCTTAGAAAACAATGCTCTCCACTAAAATCCTTGAGTCCCACCCCCTTTCTTTCAGGAGTGTATAAAAGGAGAAGAATGAAAGTGAAAGCCCCAGAAAATGGATTCATGACGGTAATTAAACACACTAAGAAATACCCCGTGCTTAATTAAGTTCTCCTAGACTCAGAAGAGCAACATCTTTCACATCTTTGGGCCTCTCTACAAGTCAGGTAAAGCCTGTGGATCCTTTCTCAAAATAATGATTTTTTTAAAAAAAAATTCATAATTGAAGGAAATGCTAGATTTTAGTTAGAATTAGTAAAAATGAAGATGTCCTTTTTTCCCCCATCCAAATGAATGTGGTCCCTGTAACCAGGTTACAAACTTCTGGATTAGAATAGTAACCAACCTAAGAGCAGTCCATTCTTTCCCCATTTCCTGACTTGATTAAGCAGTGAAGGCAAAAAGTTCAAATGGATCCCCCTCCCCCTAGCCCACACATTGACTTAGAAAACCACAAATTAACATTATCTGTGTTGTATTATATTTTTTTATTAATTTTGTTAAATGTATCCTAATTACATTTTAATCTAATTTAGGCTGCACTTGGGAGTTGCTCCTCAGGAGATCTCTGGAATTCTGGAGAACCCAGACAGGGGTATTCAGAGTGAGATTGAATGGTTTTGGGAGAATGATTCTCCAGAGGCATTTCAGAAAAATTAAAGTAACTAATGTTCTATGTGTTGAAGCAAAATGTGAACCTTGAGTTTTGTAACTGTATTTTATAGCATATGTGAGATTGTCCTTGCTGCAGGACACTCTGGCACACACCTGTAATTAGGAGGCTGAGGCTGGTGACTAGCTTGAGCAAAGTAGAGATCTGAGCTGCACTATGACCAGAATCAATCAGGTGTCCGTACTAAGTCTGGCATCAGTATGGTCAGTCCCCTATAGAGGAGAGGGAACCAGGATACCTAAGGAGGAAAAAACTGGTCCAAGTTGGAATCAGAGCAGGTCAAAACTCCCTATGATCAATAGCTGGACTATGCCTGTAAGTGGCCATTGTATGCCTAGTCTGGGCAAGATAAGGAGACCTAATCTCAAAATAAATAAATAAACAAACAAAAATTCTTTTTATCCAAGATTCCTATAAATGTTACTCCAAAAATGTCCTAGGTTAGAGAGGTGTTTGAGGGCAGGATGAGACTGTCAGTTTGGACATTTCTCTCTATAAACTAGAAATGCTAGAATAAATTAAATTAATTAATAAATTAATTAATTAATGAATTAAATTAATAAAAACTATTTCAGAAATAGTTGTGCCTACAATGCAAAATATAATATTTACATATGTGTGTATCTAGATGTAAATATACATACATGTGCACACACATAAATATAGGTTTGTGTGTGTAGACCCATAAACACAATGTACATATGTGTGTGCATGGGTATGTACACATACGAACATACATGCAGACATACATATAGATACATCCATCCATCCATCCATCTATGGAATCTAGCTATCTGTGTATTCTCTGCACAGCCCAGATGGGTTTTGACAAGGCTACTGTTCCTCCTGAATCAAGGAAGTGAGTCCAGTGTCTTAGGAAGCTGAGGGTTCCCTTTTTCATGTACAAGAACTCTGTGTCTCTGACAGTCTCCCTCTGAGTTGCCAGGAACATGTCAGCATCGGTGGAAAGTAGCAGCAGGGTCCATCGCCGATCCTAACCATCTAGGTCTGTAGAACAGTCAGCAAACACAGCTAGAGGCATAAGGGTAAAGCTGCCCAACTATTTGTAGGATTCACAGATCTAATGCTGGCTGAGACCTCAGAGGCCACCTAGTACAGGGATGGGGAACCTGCAGCCTCGAGGACACACATGCCCTACTCCAACTCTCCCATTTTACAGACTGAAAAACTGAGGCCCAGGGAGGTGAGATGATAGCTCCCCCAAAGTTCTTCAAGTATTAAAGCCCAAAGCCAGCCTTTTTTCCACTATACCTGCTCCCTCTACTTACCTGTCACCTACAACCTGAGTCCTTCTTACCCGACCCCAGGGCAGCAGCAGCAGCAGTCCTAGTACCACTCCCCACCCCACCTTGCCCCAGAATATTAGTTACCATATGTTCAGCGAATGAAAAATAAATTTAAAATAAGCCTAAGCAAAGCCCAAGTGAGAAAACCAATCCTTCACCAAACCATCATGCATTGTGAAGATAATGGAGAAATCAATACGTTCACCACAGATTAAGCTATGCTGTTTTTTCTTGGGGTTGTCAAAATGGGGTTTGTTCAGAGATGCAGTCACAGAAACTGCTTGGGAACCTGCTGTGCTTAAGGGTTGTGTTTCTCCGGGGTTTTAGCACCTCTCTCTCTAGGAACCACATTTAGAGATGCCTCAGTTGCTTCAGGGTAGTTCTTTTGAAGCCTAAAGTCACAAGAATTTGTGCTTCTGGAGCGATCTGTACTTTGCAAAGAGCTCTCCTCCCCACGTGCCTGTGAGTGAAGTGGAGTGGGCTACCAGCAAGGATTTGCCCAACATCTAGTCACTACTAAGTGGTAGAGTGGGAGCAAAAATGGGAGTCTGCAGCCGCCCCTTGCGGTGCTCTATCCCCTGTAACACGCTGTATAGACTCCTTGGTGACTGCAGGAAATGGAACATTGGCTGCATTTTTGGTCTGAGTGTCCCCCTGCGGAGAGGCAGTGTGCTGGAAGGAAAAGAACACGGGACTCCAGAGTCAAAAGATCTGGGCTCTATTCCTCCTCATCTCTGCTCATAATAGCCGTGTGACCTTAGGCAAGTCTCTTGGCTGGAGCAATATTGGATATCAGTTCCCTCACCTGTAAAAGGAGGAGGTTGGATGGAAAGAGACCCTTTCCAGCTCCATCTATGAGATGAGCTCATCGATTCCTATGGTTTTATGATATATGAACCCTAACAATTCAGTCACTCAGATTCAATCTACAATTCAAAAAGTGGAAAGAAAAAGTCTTCTTATTTTCAAATGTTGATTTACCACTCAAATTGTGAATTTCATATGTGGGGGCAGGGCAAGATTATCACTATATCTGTCTGTCTGCCTCACTGTGTATCTATCTATATCATAGGTATGATTGGTTTTTCAGTGCCTGGAATAATAATAATAATTACAATAGTTCACATTAGACTGTGAGCTCCCTATTAGGCTGTGAGATCCTAGAGAACAGAGACTATCATCTTTCTTTGCATCCCCAGCACTTAGCACAGTGCTTGAGATGTAGTAGGCGCTTAAGCGTCAGCAAGGTGGCACAGTGGATAGAATGCTGGGCCTGGAGTCAGAAGGATTTGAGTTCAAATCCAGCCTCATATACTAACTAGCTGTGTGACCCTGGGCAAGTCACTTAAACCCGTTTACTTCAGTTTCCTCATCTATAAAATGAACTGGAGAAGGTAATGGCAAACCCCTCCAGTATCTTTACCAAGAAAACCCCAAAATGGGTCACAAAAAATCAGACATAACTGAACAACAACACAAATGTTTATTGACTGACTGATATTTAGAGAGTGATTTAAAATTACAAAATGTCTGAGAAGGCCCAAGAAAAAGATCTTTCTTTAAAGCAACCTAAAGCCTTTGAGATCATCTAGGCTATGTGTGTTTAACCTTTCATGTGTCATGGACCCATTGGAAGTCTGCTGAAACCTATAGACCTCTTTTTGGAATAATGCACAAAATAAAATTAATCGAGTTCCAAAGAAAACCAATCATGTTGACATATGATTATCAAAATAAATCTACTTTTTTAAAAGATGAGATCATAGACCCAGGTTGAGAACCTTTGATCTAGCCCAACCCCTTCATTTTACAAATGAGGAAACTGAAGCCCAGAGAAGGGAAACCAAGTTGATGTAGCCAGTAAACAATAGAACTGGAATTCATAGCCAGGTCTCCTGTGTTCTCACACAGTATCTCAAGGCAGATCAGCCTCATTGTGTGAAAGGGATAGAAAGATCACTCCAATATCAATGTAGGATGAAAATGTACCATTCACATCTAACTTAAGGTTGTCCTTCTGAAGCTCTTTAGAATCTTCCTAGAGGGGTGCTCCCCTAAATACTTGGCAAGTCAGGGAACACTTTGATCAAATAATAAATATAATAATCATTCCTTGATTGAAACTATGCTCTACTCTCATACTGGAGCATGGCTTCAAAAAACTGTTCAATAATGTTTGGTAAGGTCAATATATAATTCCATCACTGGTCCTACTCACAAAATACGTATGTAGCCGTGGGTAGTGGGGCATCATAATAACCTGTCCTTACTTACCTACCTAATTGACCACTATCTGCTTGCTAAGTATGTATGGGCACTGCTACCATGAAAAAAATGTCATTCAAAAAATGTTATTGGCTGAATCTAGGTAAAAAAATTAAATTATGAGCCTGCCGTTGGGACTTGTTGTCCATTTAGGAGACCTGTTCAGTCTGTTGTTGGGAGCCCTCCAATTCTGCCATTCTGCTTGCGAAACCATTTTCCTCTCTGAGATAACATTTTGTCTGCTCTGGATAGATCTCATATGTACCTGGCTATGTTCATGTTTTTCTCCCCCACAGAATGTGAGCTCCTTGAGGGCAGGGTCTGTTTTTTACCTCTCCCTAGAACTTAGCACAGTGTCTGCCCCATAGTAGGAGCTTAATAAATACTCGTTGACTGATTGAATGATTTCTACCTCTTTGGCCCTTTAAATTAAAAAAAAAATCATTTACTTTATTGCAGCTATAAATAAACTTTATTCGATTTAATGTAATAAAACATTTGCAAATGGAACACAACATTTATCTTACTATAGTTAATCCTTTAAATTATGAATATAATTATGTACAGTCACTCTATGAAGCCTGCAGTTAAGATATTGATACAGCTTCGTCTAGAAGGTAAGCACCCATCTCCTCTTTGTCTGAGATGAAGGTGCTTCTCTGGTTCTGGTAAGAGTCAAAGCCGAAGCAAAGTCATGCACATCTGGTCTGGGGCCTCTATTAGAAAGCCGCAAAGTCCTGGGGTTGCATCATCTCCTGTACTGTGGGGAAAATCCATCTGCTGGTAGGATTCTCCATCCATCACCTGGGCTCAAGGCTTCCTCCTCTCAGGCCTGCTGTCTCAGGATTACTACCATTTTTGTAGCCTGTATTTATTGAACCTCATAGTTTGACAAGTCAGATCAATGACAGGTTCATTTCTGTTCAGCAGCCTGCTCTGATTGTTGACCTTACACAAGATAGAATTGCATCACTCAAGGCACACATTTGCTTTAAGATGCAGGCATCACAGTGAATTAGTCTAATGGCCTTCTCAGGAGCTTTCAGCCAAGGTTCTAGGGCACTCCAGCTCTTCCTCACTGCTTTTTCCATCAAACTCATATCACAAAGTTGGGCACAATTATGCTCAAAGGAAGTAGGTCTTCCCACTGAACATTCAGAAGCATGCAGGGGACAAGCATACCAGCCTTGAAGTGCAATCCCACTGGTCACAAAATGGCATCTACCAGTTATTGGAACACAAAGCATTTCAAGGTTTGGAAAACCCATTCTGTTCTTTCTTCTCTTAGTATCCCCAGCACTTACGTACACAGTAAGTGCTTAATGAATGCTTGTTGACTGACAGATTGCTCCCAGTGTAGCCTTTTCTCCCCCCTTGGATTGCCAAGAACCTTGGGAAATTAATTACCCTAATCTCTCAGCACCCTGAGGAAGAACTGTTAGCAAAGGGAAATCTATAGCCAAGCTTTCTGGCCCTTTCCAGCCTTAGATCCATTCATGAGTCCTACAGGAACAATAAGTAGATCAAGACATAAAGTACTTTTGTGGGAAAGACACAGGGGCCTCTGTAAAAAAGCCAAACTACCTGACAGGGGCTTTAAATAAACAATGCCTTGGGACTAGGTTTGTATTAGCGGACTACAGTAGTTTTGTTTTCTAACACGAGCATGCAACATTTTCAACACTTGACTTACCAGCGTTTGCTCAAAAAATATCTATTTGTTATACAACAAAATACAGCTCTTTTTTTCACCAATGATCCCTGAATTTTCATAATAACATCTTGCCTCAGAAGCATGGGGACAGTGAATTAGGACTTCCTTTCACTTATACATATTTAGACAGATGTGAAGCACTAGAAACTGTGTTTCCATCTTCTATGGAACTCAGTTTTGTCGATGTGCTTATTGCTAAAACATGATCTTGCTGTCATACGCAGACATTGATTTTCATTTGTACACAAGAGCATTGATTTACAAATGGAGAGCAAGCAAGAGAGAGTGAGAGATCATCCCGCTCCAGATCAGCGCATGTCATACAATGGATCATCCATGTTGATGTCACATTTGAATGGTTCCTCCCACAGGAGAAGCTGCGTTTTGAAAGCCAGAAACTTCTTCACCAGGAGTGAGTCACCTCTTTCACCCCTTGTTGATTTCAGGCTCCATCATTCTGCTCTGCATCATGAATCATGACTTTTTTTCCGACTGTAGTCAGAGTTTTGTCTACAAAAAAAAAAAAAATAGGAGACAGGAAAATAATTTAGCAGAACCATAAACCTGATTTTTCATTTTTTGGTAGATGGATTTAATTCCTATGGAATCAAAGCAGTTGACTCAATTGTGGCTTCTAAAGAGGTTAGAAGTGCTTCTAAGAAAAAAAAAGTGTGCCCTTTTTCATCTTCTTCCCGATTTTCGTAAGCTGCCAAGCACTCAGCATATTTATGAAGCAGCCCTGAATAACAATCTAGAAACTCACTTTTGTGATAGATCTGTAGCAAAAAAGAAAAAAAAAAGAACACTTAAAATTGCCTACAAAATGGAATGGTATTTACCTTGTTTGAAAAGAAAAATGATGAATAATAACAAGCCTGGCACATAAAAGAGGCATTGTGGAACAGCAGAAAGAATACAGAATTCAGAGTTTGAGGACCCAATTTTTCAATGTAGTAAAACCTCTCTGCAACTCATAGCACTGTTGATTTAGAGTTGGAAGGGATCTCAGACAAGCTAGTTCATATAAGATATATGGACTATATGAGAAATTTTTTATTTTTATTTTATATTATTTATTTTATATGAGATATATGGACTATATGAGAAAATATTTATATATGAGAAAACTGAGGCTCAGAGGAGTTGTTTCTATATTCTTTCTCAGTCAGTTAACAAGTATTTATTAAGCACCTACTGTATTCCAGGCACTGTGCTAAGTGCTGAGGAGACAAAAAAATAAAGCAGAAGACAACCCTTGGTCTCTAGGAGTTCACAATTTCATGAGGAAGCCAGTTTAGCCTGCTGTTATTTATCTTTGCATTTCCAAAATTAAGAGGCAGTATGACCTAGTGGGTAGAAGTCCAGCTTCAAAGCCAGAAAGATGAGTAGAAGTCCAGCTTTTGAAACATACTGGCTTTGTGACACTGGGCAATTCATTTAGCCTCCAGTGTTCTAAGAATGCACTAATTCATATTGGTAAAGGGAGTTTCCCTACCTGGGAGTTCGCTATACCAATGAAATCACAGGTGTACTCTCTATCCCTGGCTCTAAAACTAACTAGCCCTAGGGCCAACATAGAATAAGTATATAATCAATATTTGCTGAGTTAATGCTAAGTTGAAAGAATGTTTCCAAAAATGCCTTTATTCCTCTACTTTGTCTTTTGTTGTTGCTGTTATTGTTTTTAGAGAGAAAAATGTATCATGAAAGCCTAATTTTCTGGAACGAGGCCACACATCCTACCAATAATTCTACTATAAAATGGCCTCCAAAAAGAGCAGAAAATCTAAGGAAAGCTAAGACTGAAAACAAATATTTATAAATTCGGGATCAGAAGGCATTGGAGCGAGGTTTGAGGACTAGACCTGTGATTAAATTCTTTCTGGATCTTGGAGTCCCTGAGTAACAGCTTAGAAATGGGGTCTGGAAACAGATAACTGCCATAGGTCTTCAGCAGCATGAACAGACTTCTTTCACCTACCTCCAGACCACATTTTTATGAACCAAAATTAAGTGTGTAGGGAATAACTTTTCCTGACTGTTTTATAACCAGAAATGTGACTGCTTTGAAACCTCAGGAATTCGCTGGAATGGAAAAGATGCGCCACATAATCATAGAGTGGCACATAGGAAGTATTACCAGCTCTCTGTGCCCGAGATAATGCCTGCTAAGCTTCTCCAAAATAGAAGGGCCGCATTATTCCTATTCATTCAAATCCGCTATGGAAGCCAAAAGTTGCGGAGGCTTATGTCTTCCTTCCTTTTTTCATTCTCACTTCCTTCCACATAAATTTCATCTTGCATAACCTCAGGATTCATAAGCTCAGAAACACAAGCTTTCAAGACAGAAGGAAATTTGCAAGTTATGAAGTACACCACTTCATTTTACTGATGAGGAAACTGAGGCCAACAGTGGCAAAGTGATTTATCCATGATGGCACAGGTTGTAAGTAAGTGGCAGAGTCACACATCTGAATGAAGTTCCTCTGACTCCAAATACAGTGAGTGCTCATTCCTCTACACCATGATGCCAACTCAGGTCTAGATAATTATGATAACATAAGTGCTGCCCAGCATTCCTCCTTCCAACAGGCCTTCCATACCACTACGAGATTAATCTTCCTAAAATACTCCTCATCATACTACTCTTCAACTCATAACTTTCCAATGGTTTCCTACTACCTACAGAACAAGGTCCAAACTTCTTAGATTTTTCATCATCTGGGCTCCAACCTATCTTTATATCCATGTCTCTTATTGTTCTCCACTAAAAAAAACCCTGTTCCATCCAGGATTTTCTCAAAAACAAACCTTGGCCATGTCCATCTCCATACATGAAAAGGCCATGCTTTTCCCTCTAGCCGGAATTATCATCCCCTCTCCTTTCTGTCTATCCAAATGCCACCCATTCTTCAAAGCCCAGCTCAAGCCACACCTCCTCTGTGAAGCCTTTAACTATCTCTCTCTCTCTTTCTCGTGAATTCTTATTGCACTTACTATCTATCCTACCATCTAGCACTTTTTTTGTCTTTTACTGTCTTTTTAGCATGATTTAAATGTTCTTCTGAGTGTCTCATATAGACAAAGAGATTGCAAACTTCTGGAAGGCACAGAGTATGCCTTAGACTTCTTTTTTTATCTTCTGCAGTGTCTAAAACAATGACAAGCACATAAAAGGTACTCCACAAATATTGCTTGAACGAATGATTTTTTTTCTCAACGAGGCCAACCTTACAAATTGCATATATATGCATATATATATACACATATATATATATACATATATACACAGAGAGAGAGAGAGAGAGAGAGAGAGAGAGAGAGAGATTATCCAGAGCTGCTACTCTTTCATCTTCCATGACCACACATTTTTCAAAGATGATAGATATTTTAGGTCAATCATCCCAAAATTACTTTCAATAACATGAAATATAAGATGTAAAGAAAGGGGAATCAGAAGAATATGTATCAAAAACCCAACAAGTTTAAATTAAAGAATTAATTAACTAAGGAATTAAATTAAGCTTTAAATTAAAGGATGACCTACGTGATCCCTTATAACCCTAAAATTCTCTTATTTTCTCAGTCTTGCCAAGTCAAAAAGACAAATGTTGGTGGACTTCTTTAATTTGTTATCCTATCTATGAGTTTTATAAACTTAAAATCCTGTTAATTTTATGTTTAGGAAAAATATCAAGATTTGAGAAGAGTCCCAACCTTTGGCAAGCAAGAATTATTAAATATCTTCAATGACACTTAAAAGTGATTACCAAGTACTTTGAAAATATAAGTTGCAAATTAATGCAATTGAATTTGCTTCAAATGGTGCCTGCCCACACACAATACAATGCAGGGAGAATATTGCTCACATTACAGCTTAATGCTGTTGCTCCTTAAAGTGAATACATTCCCAAAAGACAAATGTATCCAAGAATATTATGTTATTGAGTACAAAGTGTCTTCTCCTCATCCCACTTCCAATTCATTTCATGTATTCTCCTAACACCAAATAACAATGAAAAGGTAGTAAATGGGTAGAGGAATGTGTTGGACACCATGAGAAGCCATTGCAGAGTTTGATATGAAAAGTCATTTCCAGACTACAGTGATAAGGTGATTTGCAATGCAGAAACATGTATGCCAGTCACAACGACCCAAGAGTCAGCTCAGTATAGAAACTCCTGAAATCAGTAAGGGTACAAAATGAACAGGGAGTGCCTAATGTCTGGTCACATTTTTAAGAAATGCCTCAGAGGGTTTGCTTCTCAGGACTGCTAAGGTCTAAGAGTCCCCCAAAAGATATAATAAAGCCTAAGAGTCTTTCTTCCTGGAATCATAAATAACTAAGTTCAAACCAGGCTTAAGGTACTTACCACTGGGGTGACCCTGGGCAAATCACTTAACTCTTATTTGTCTCAGGTTCCTCATCTGTAAAATGAGGATTAATAATAGCATCTACTTTGCAGAGTTGTTGGAATGATCAAATAAGATAATATTTGGAAAGTGAAGTGCCTGGCACATAGTAGGTGCTATGTAAGTTCATATGCCCTTCCCTCCCTTGACCCCCAAGATAGTGCCAGAGTTCAGAGTCAGTCCCTGAGTTTGTGGCAGATATAACAACCCCATACCTAATTAATCCCCCCCCTTTTTAATTTACATATAGCACTTTGGACCTCTACTTTATAGAGGTAATATAATTTGTAATATAGTTGTTTGTGTATGACTTATCTTCCTTGCTAGATTATCAAGGACTACATCTTAAACTTTTGGGTATCCCTCCCTCCCTAAGCACTGTGCTTGTACACAGCACATGATCACCATATGTCTGTAGTACTGAATTTGTTGAACAGGCATTCGTAAGAACCAAGTTTCCCTTTATGGAGATTGGCTTCCTCAAACCCCAGAAGAATCTAGATTAGGAAAATGTAAAGCCATTTCACTGAATACAAGCTAGACCAAAAGAGGTGTTAATACAGAGGCTCCCAAAGTGGACGATACTGCCCCCGGGAAGTAGGGGAGGGTGCTGGAACAATCCAGGGGAGTGGCAATAGCTTCTCGTACAATTAGTAGGCATTGAATAAAAATAAGGGGGCAGTAGACACATAAGGAAAGAAAAGAAGGTAAGAAAATTATGAAAAACCATTGGTACATGTTTCATCTGTTGTGTAACAGTTAAAGTCATAATGATTACATTATTTTCCAAATAAACACACAAAAGGCAAGTTATAACATATCAGTGGTCAAGTCTGCTGACAAGTCTTAGCAAGCAAGTATTGGCAGGTGAACATGTTGTGCATTGTCGGGAAGACCAGCATGCATCAGCAGGAATATATGTGAGTAATGACTTGTTTACAATCCTATACTATGTGGTTACATGATGCTACATTGTGTCATCAAAATTTCAATGCAGGAAAAACCCCACAAATTTACAATAAATTCTTAAATTAAAGATGTCATGTTTTTAAATTCATATATTTTCTTGAAATGATACAAATTTCAAAAAAATTAAA